TGTGTGTGTGTGTGTGTGTGTGTGTGTGTGTGTGTGTGTGTGTGTGTGTGTGTGTGTGTGTGTGTGTGCGTGCGTGTGTGTTTGCGCGCGTGTGCGCGTGTGTGTGTAATGGGTGTGTATATAACACGGCAGCCCCATAATCATGGGGAACCAGACCATCCTTCAGTCCAAACGTAGCATCACGTAGTGTTAGCTGCAGGCTTAACATAGCACAGGTTAGGGGGAAGGCCCGGAAGGGTTATCCCATAGTAATCAACTCCATAGGAAACTGGAGGATTAATTTGGGGGGAGCATATTAGGGTGTTAGGAAGAGCGGGGAGCAACGATGGCATAACCATCAAGGTTGGTGTACTGACCAACAGAGGAGGGATGACACATCCCTTCATACGCTCTTTGGCGCTTGCTCTCGTCAATGCTCAATAGAAGGTTAGGAGTTCCCATGCGCCCGGCTAAGATCCCCATGGAATACCATGATGCGAAGGCCGTTAAGGCAAAACACAGTGAGGCAGATGATGGTGAGGTAACAAGGCACTGGACAACAAGAGGTTGCAAGTCACATAGGGTGGAGGACATGGGGGAGGACGGCGGGCAGGTAACCAACTCAAAGCAAGAAGCGAAAAAAGCACAACTACTGATACCAAGTTGGAAAAACGGAGAGCGAAAAAAAATAATAAAATAAATAAATACTGGTGATGACAGACTGTTTCGTCGGACTTGCACCGACTCATCAGGAGGCTGAACCCTGACAATCTGCGGAATCCCCGTATTTGATGGTTTGGGTCATAAACCCTTTGACCCATGTTGAAGGCAGACTATCCCCAAGCGGGACATAGCAGCGGGCAGCAACCCTGTGGAGCACCAGGCAACACAATAGAGGCAACTCAACTGCTTATCACCAAAGACGACTGCAAGGAATGACAGGGCAAGCGGACGAGCAGCTCGGCAACCGTGCGGTGCAGCGCAAGGCAACATCAGCAAGGCGACGAGACTACACGGCACGCAAGCAAGTAAGGGACGCAGAAGGCCAGCAGGGCAAGCAGACGAGCAGCTCGACAACCAAAAAGGCAACCAAACTACAAGGCATGCACGCAAAGAACACTGAAGGCCGACAGGGCACACGGACAAGCAGCTCAGCAACCGTGCAGCGAAGCGCGAGGCACCACCACAAGGCTACCAAACCACAAGGCGCGCGAGCAAAAGACATGGGAGGCACGACCCGCAGGTAAGCGGCAAGGCAGCAGAGCAGCGAGGACGACCTGCAAAGCAAGCGGCACGGGCAGCAAGACCGTGGCAGAGCGCAGACAAAACAGTCTACACATCCAACACGGAGCAAAGCAGCACATGACCTACTCACATCACGATAGAACCCCGCAGACTGTTGGTTCCCACCACCCGCTGAGACAGGGGGACACTCCAACGACCATCCGTCATCACTGACAGGCAACACAGACATCCCGAACCGAGCAGCCCCCCTAAGAGTGCAGTTGGCACTCCAAACGAGGAACCACCGACTGTTTGGCACTACTTAAGGGTGCTCAATTGGGCACACAAAAAGACTTGGAAAAAATCAAGGGGAGGACATACAACAAAAGGAGGACCAACAACATAAAACTGATAGTGTGTGTGTGTGTGTGTGTGTGTGTGTGTGTGTGTGTGTGTGTCCATGCTCATCGCCAAATTTCTGATATGCCCCGGTAGCATCTCTCCCGGGGCCACGGGAAAGACTGCGAGTGTCAACAACGGCCACAGGGGCTCGCTGGAAAGATCGGCGGTACCAATAAGGGCATATGGGAAACTTTTGTGCTGGTTCTCAACGGCCATCCGGTAGGGGCATACTGAAAATTTAGTACAGGTACTGGTAGGGGCATATGAAACATTTTTCAGGCCCAAACGACGCCAGGGGTTTTCTGGAAACATCATTCGTCGTCAGAGGGGCACGACAAGGTAAGTTGGCCGTCAGAGGGGCACGCCGCAAATAAACGCAAACTTCAGGGGCATTTCGAAAATTTTCCCGAATAATTATTGTTGCGCAAGTTCAGGGATTTTGGCTTTCCTCACCTCTTATTCCTTTCTTGTTTTCACGTTAAATTTGGCAGGTTTGGGTAAACAAACCTGAGAGGAAAGGCAGAGGTAAGGCAAGCTGACAGTCAATCCTCCAGACATCTGGAGCAATCAATGCTGATCAGGGCTCCTGCAGCCAAACGGAAGGAAGCATGAGGGTGTTCTTGTTGTATTTCTGTCTTGCCGGTGAATAGGTACTGGACTGATGCTCCCCAGAATGGATATGGAGCCAGAGGCATAAGGATCTGTTTTATTATTTAAAAAACTTTTAAAAAGTAAAAAAAAAACAAAAAAGAATAACTATTGAAAAAATCTGAGAAAACTGAGGGACATATTAAGCAATGATCTTTCCACACAAAAAAAACAAACAAAAAAAACACGAAGTTCATTAGGGCAAAAAAAAGAAGTGATGGCGGTTAAACCATCAGCACTTGGCCCATACATCAGCCACGGGCCCTTGTCATATACGCGCCGCAACTTTCGGGCTTCTCTCTCTCTCTCTCTCTCTCTCTCTCTCTCTCTCTCTCTCTCTCTCTCTCTCTCTCTCTCTCTCTCTCTCTCTCTCTCTCTCTCTCTCC